ACTGACCGCTTCTCCGCGTCTGATGTTTTGTTTTCCTTGTCATAATACTTACTGATTGATGATTTTGTTTTGATTTTTGAGTTTTTTAGCCTGCAACTCGGCCACGACCTTTGCTTTTTCCGTGAAAAATGGGGAAGTTTACGTCAATTTGACGGACATTCCACTAACGAACACACTGTTTAGCACTCCTATTTTTTTCATTTGCTGATTTCTATTCAGAAAAATTCGACCGCTCGAAAATGCACCCTTTTGCACTCTTAAAACATGTCAGATTTCCAACAAAAATTATTCAAAACCGGTCGAAATTTTAAAACTTTTACGTAAGAAGCTGGAGCTCTCTTCTTGCAGGCGACCGTCACCGGTAGTGCAACAGCATGTTTTGTACGTACGTCCGTGCGCTGATTGTCTGCGACTGTCTTAGAAAATCCCTGAATAAGGCATTACCAAAATCGGAGAAAAATAAAAAATTTCCTCCGTAAAAAACGAACAGAATTCAAATATTTCTTTTAACAAATATGTTTCAGTGGGAAAAATGGGATTGGAAACGCTGAACAAAACTTCTGTGCCTCGCGTTTCGATTCTAGGATTACGCGATTATTCATTATTGTGCATTCGCTTCCTGGAGTTGGTTCTCAATACTACATAAAAATCATCGAGGATAAATAATTTAATATCCCACTTTGTACTCTTCACGGTAAACCATAGGCTCTGAAACACTCGTAGATTTTTTATTGAAAATACATCAAAGAGAAGCCATGATGTTTTGATCACCTTCCTAGGACCGCCCCCTGTTTAATAATTCATGAGATGACATCATATTTACTGGGCATTGACATGTGTTTTTACCGACCCCATCAAAACACTGGTATGAATGACGTGTTTCTGATTTATATATTCAAGAGCAGTTGTTCTTGTTCAACGATTTTACATAAAATGTCTATGTCTATACGTTAACTTTCAATTTCAATAGTCTAGAAAGTATGACAAAGTATGACAAAGCAGTAATTCCCGGTTTAACGCGCAAATATGCAAATTAGCCTTTTTCTTGTCTTCTATATTTGGTGAATTCTTGAGTTTTAAATTAAAATAGCTGATAGACGCTTTGGCCATTTGCCTCGAAATTTTCACACATTATTAACAAGGTGTTCCCCCTTCAAAATGCGTCCGGACAGTTTATTACGGCGAGTGAACAAAAATAACAAGTCCGCAATTAACATGGATATATAAATTATGCAAAAATAGAAAAGAGTGAACTTTGAGAGATGAGTGGACGCATTTGAATTAGTAGTATACCAAGGTATCCAGTGATGTAATTTTACCCACAAACGAACTTGAAGTTTTTAAGCTAATTTTTTTTAAACCACTTTTGTCCAAAAAAGCATATTTTTGACCCAAACGCATTCTGGATATTTAAAATAAAGACAAGTTTTACAAAGTTTGTATAATAAGCTTTCAGAAAATATATAACATGTTGGATATATAATACCATCTTCATTGTCTAATTACTCAATTAAAAAGCAAGCCAAATAAACTGCATCTCTACCTTAAAAAATATAAAAGTAATCTAGCTAAAGGTTATGAAAAAGTCAAAATTGATGTCAGCGCTAATGAATAATCAGTCAATAATATATATACTTGGTCTTCTTTGATGACAGTAAAAAAATACACTTTCATCTTGACTATCTTAGCTTTATCGAAAAAATGTGTACTTACTCTAAAAAGTTTAGTTTGTAAATCTGCAATTTTTGTCTTGGATTCATCGTTTTCTTTGTGTTGTGTTTTCAACTCTGCTTCTAATCGCTCAGCTCGTCTCGCAGATACAAAACGATCTTGCTCCAACTGGGCCACAACTTGCTTGTAATCGTCTATTTCACTCCTAAATATATGAAGCATGAAAACAATTGGGCGTTAGTTGACATTCACATGCAAGTTTTATCTTGAAATGTTGGTAAAAATATGTGTGGGAAATGTACCGTGCATGTTTTCACAATGTTTTAGACGCGAATACTGTAACTGCAAAAACAATTCACTGGGTTTTAAACACAATGCTGATGAAAGCCTCCACGAATAGCCAATATAAATAGTTGAATAAATGAATGAAATCCATGTGTAATACAATAAAATTCATTATTTCCCCAGAGAATCTGTGATATTTAAATCCTATTCAATATGATTAAATATTGGGGGAATGAAATTAGGGCTTGAAATAAAGTTTTTTGAGCCCTCGAATCAAATCATGAAAATTTATGCGTTTACTGAAAGGGGGTATTGTGGCACCATAAGATAAGTTTAAACAAGTCATGTGACCTAGGAGTAGAAGTAGTAAAAGTGAAAACAATCAAAATATATACATAGAGTTCAGGATTTATGCCCATCATAGTTCTACTAGTACTAGCTATTTTAGTCTCTGGCTGTGTAAGATTAATATTAGTCATTAAATTTCTAATTGTATTAACCTTTTTGAGACTGTAGCTGAAAACAATGCATTTCACTTACTTCTTGAGTTCATCTTTGAGATCTTTGACTTTCTGGCTCTGTTCTTTGATGTCTGACAGAAGCTGTAATGCTTGGTTGTCTGTGTTGTGGTGTTCTTTCTTCTCCAACTCCAACATTCTTTTCAAATTCTGTTGAACATAAAGAATTATTTAAATTACTGATAATCACATGCTGGTGACCACATTTAGGCCAATTCAGTGTAAATTGGGTTAAATAATCAAGATGACCAAGTGTTATTGGTTCTGAACATGCATAATAATGTAATATTGTTGTCTATATTTGGGCAATAGTGTGATGTCATTGTATTACATAACAAGCTATCTGACGGTTGAAATAGCTTCGCTGTTTTTAGCATAACAGTGTCTTTATAGTGGAGAAATGAATAACCTTGGTTTTGTTTACATTCCAATCCAAATGTTTCCACTCCTGTGGTTACATGTAGTTCTTACAACTGATTAGATAACTTTAACAGTACAATATCTAAATTTTGAATTCACTAACTCCAGTTATAAGATATGTCTGTGAATTAGTAGTGTTCCCCTCATGTCACCAAATGATCTATTCTAATAGAGGTCACCCAGGGTATATGTACATATATACCAAATATCAATTCAATCAAACCAGCAGTCATCAAGAAGAAGTCAAATAGTATTTTTGACCCAAAATGACAAAAATATTTGCTAAAATTACAGAAATGAAAATGTCATTACGAAATATAAAATCCAATAGAAAACAAGAACTTCATCATTCATTTCCCAAGTACACGTGTAGCTCAATGCGTCTCTTCCATAAAATCATCTTCCCAAATATGGAGTTGGGATGGTGAATTACAGAACTCAGGGTACAAACCAAGGCTGCATCACATACCTTCACCTCTGTGATGTACATTGCCATATCCTTCTCTAGCTGGTCTCTTTCATTCTGAACCTTAATCAAGGCATCTGTTTTCTCTTTTAAATCTGTTCTTAGATTGTCTTTCACCGACGACTGTTGATTTTGAAGTTTGTTGAATTTTTCCTGCGTTTCCTGTAACTCTTTCGTTTTCACAGTGAGTCTTCGTTCTAAATTCAACTTGGCTGCTGGTGATGGACACTCTTGCGTTATAGAAGAGATTCTAGTGCTAGCAAATAATGTACATGCCACAGTCAGTCTAGGTTATAACTCCTCCCAAAATATCAGATTGGTAAAAAACGAATCCCAACACATTTTAATAATTTAATTCAAAAATACGAGTCACCGGATTATTGTACACGGAGTGCAAACAAAAATGAGATTGTTTCAAAAATTCAAATATTCGGTTGTTGAAAGAGCACAACTGACAAATTCTTAAAACCAAATTAACTAATGTATAATGTGAGTGACATATGACAAGATTGAAACTTTTTCATCTGTCTATGAGGTCAGGTAATTCTGGAAACAATCTGTCACAGATAAAATATGGCTTCTGGGCCACAGCTGGAAAAACATTTATTGTTACTTTTGGCTTATCTTTTAGGCAATGACCATCAAATCAGAAAATGGTTGTTTTAAACCCCCTAAGTTAACAAAAAATAATTGCCCATGAGTGGGTTGTGAAAAAAAGGTGTCTTACCTATCCCCACTTACAGAACTAACAAGATTTTTAGTGAAGGTAAAACCAACAAACGGGAGATTTTTTCCACTGAATTCTTTTTTCTTTCTGAATTCAGCAAAGTCAGGGGATTCCATTTCAGGTTCAAATTCATCAAAATTAGATGTGTCATCCACGCTGCCGATAGTCGGCACAAATGGCGGTACACCTGTCAGGAAGAAAATAACAATTTAGTACATACTCATAATGTAATCATAAAATTGCAAAAACAGCATACAGTAGTTAGTTGCAAAGCCTGTAAAAACATACATGTATGATAACATTTTTGAGATCTCAAATTCAAGTTTGGCCCCTTTATTAAAAAAAAAATAATTCAAAAATTAGACTTGATTTCCTGCACAGACTTGGCAAGAGAGAGACTAGGCTACGGTGGGTTGTACCAGCCCATATTCTCTGTTGTGTACTGCCAGCCAATTATAGTCGTTTTAGTCAAGCACTTGATGTGTACTAGTGAAGCAGACAATAATCGCTAAATCAAACAGTTGTGTTGACGAACAGCAACAGAACAGAAACAGATTTTTTTAAATAAATTTGAACTCAGATTCAGACAGTTCCAATGACACAAAGCGTTTTATTTGTCCACAAACATCCAATACAACCACATTCACTGGGAATTAAAATCGGGAAATTTTGTTTCCATCTATAATACAACTTCTAAACAGATGATTTGCGCTCACAGACCCCATTGCCTCTTGAATAGATACAATCAGATGAACGCCCGTGGTGGTTGTATAAACATGAGTTGAAAACTTGTTTGTACCATCAAAGACTATACTAAGCAAGTAACCTCAAGTAACACATGCCATTCACTGAACGTATAACGCCAGTGCACACACTGGGTGACTAACTGTTGGCTTATTTATTCCATTGACATGTACGTGTTACTTCTGATAACATTATTTATCTTCATACATCGGTATAATTGACAGACACAGCACCAGTTTCCCCAGTCTCTTACCGCATGCGGCTTTGCCGAGTGCTATAAAGGCATTTTCACATGAATTTAAAGCGGGGGAGTCGTCACGCATGCGTCAGGTGGCCATAGTGGCTATGAGCCTTTGCGTTATTAGTGTGTGTTGTTATCGTTGTTTGGGACTCAATTCCTGCATGTGCACAAGTGACATCCCTCCCGCTTTAACATAACTCGATAAATTTTAAATTAGCAATTGGAAAAATAATTTTAAATAGAACTAGTTGGCAAATTAGTGAAAGGGTTGAACTATTATGCTATTGCACTTCCAAACACGCAATATATTGGTACATTTTGGCAAATTGTATAGGGGAAAACAACTGTTGTAATGACAAAATCTGGAACTCACTTTGTCTCAGTGTTGTCCAGTCAATATCGGCAAAGAATGCGTGACAATTGAGTCCTTCGTATCCAAGACGATCTTCTTTATCACATAATAACTCTTTAATGATTCTCTTGGCATCTTTGGATGTAGTGATGTCAGCAGGAAAGTGTAAAGATTTCTGAAAAAAAAAAAACTTATTATTTTTGCATATTTCTTTCATTGGGAACATATGCAATGTACAAGACAGGCATGACACTATATGTATTACATTACCATTACTGCCAACCATTTATGATCAGTTTTATCTCCTAGACCTGATCAGATAAATCTGAACATATAAAATGCAGAATATGATCAGGCTTTTTTAAAAAAACTGGCGTACTAGAACTGTACTTGTATTTGGGCATCAATACATTCAGTGATGTGAATCTATTTCTGTTCTGCACTACATTGTTAGTGTCAGTTGTAAACAACAAGCAGCCTCTCGGCTGGGATAGCTCCGCTGTTAGCAATGCTCATTTCAATTACAGCAATTCCAGGCACTGATTTGACGCTGAAGTAGTGCTAGATGTTGATAACTTACTACAATAGGTTACACACTTTGTTTTCAAATTTATATAAGTTGTAACTAGAAATATAAACATCGGCTGCAAATCAGAGGAATGATTGGCAGATATTGCCCACAATGTCAGGTACACCTAGACTTTGAGGCGCGTCTGTCATTCATTCACTTTTAGTCGGTCATCGTGTCGATTGCGTGTCTACAAATCGGCATTTGTCCAAGTTGTTGAAAAAGCAAGTTTGTATTTTCATGGACTGTCATTTGCTGAGATTGGAGATCGAAATGGTGTTTCAAAGCAGACAGCTTGAACTTTATAATATCGTCAAACGGGTTGTTACCACCGAGAGTATCCTGCCAGGAAACTGACAACGTTATAGACCATGTCGAATATTATAAAACTCGACAAAAATTCGACAAAAACTACTTGTGTACGGTGGCAACCCTCCCCGGACGTGTGATCGTGTGTTGCCAGTGAAAAGCTTTTTAAAGCGATTATTTGGTGGCACATTTAGGTTCTCATCGTCAAGAACCAATAATCGAATAACACCCCTTCTATGTATTCAATTTCATTATTGATATAGTGGATGAAGTCTTCATAGGACATTTGTTGCAGGCGTGATACGTATATTTCCATAGTAGGAATAATGCACTTTGATCAATAATTCTGTCATGATCAGTCGGTCAGCTGGTTCTGTAAAATAACGTTCTTTACAGTATCACCACTTTATGCGTCCCTCTCACTGAAATAACATGTGACGCAAATTGAAGTACGAAACTAAGTCGAGAGCCTCAATCGTTTATTGGAGGAGAAATTCAAAACTAATGTACAGCCACTTTTATGGGCGGAGCTTTCTTCCGATGTGCTTCAAATTGCAGACATGTTGTCTGCATTATTTGTAACAACTTCTGTAAATTTGAAAATAAAGTGTGTAACCTATTGTAGTAAGTTATCAACATCTAGCACTACTTCAGCGACAAATCAGTGCCTGGAATTGCTGTAAAGAACAGAAGATATCATTAGAAAATGAACAATATGCATAGTATCAATGCTATGGGACTTGCTGTTTTCAACAAGAAGTCGAAAATATCACTTTTTACCAAAAATGACAAAAATATTCACCAAAATTAGAGAATTGAAGATATCATCATGAAATGAACAAATTTGAGAGTGGTCCACATGTAGTACATATATATGTAACATCAAAGCAATTGGACTTGTGGTTTTTAACAAGAAGTCAAAAATATCACTTTTTACTAAAAATGACAAAAATATTCACCAAAATTAGAGAATTAAAGATATCATTACAAAATGAACAAATCTTAGAGAGTTCCACATGTAGTACCTATATATGTAATATCAAAGCAATTGGACTTGCGGTTTTTAACAAGAAGTTGAAAATAT